CGTGCATGGGGGCTGAGGGGCAACGGATCTTGTACGACCGCAGCGGTGCTTCATCTTCCCGATCAAGGCGCGGAGAGGATCCGCGTATCGCTCAAATGCAGCGGGAGATGGAGGAGCAGCAGCGGGCCTTGGCTGAGCAGCAGCGCACCTTGGAGGAGCAACGCAAAAAAGAAGAAGAAACAAGGGCCCGGCTGGAAGAGATGGAACGGATCCTCAGCGCCGGAATTCGGAATCAGCCTCAGCCTCAGCCGTATGTACTGCACCCTGAGCAGACACCTCAAGTTCCGCACATGGGCGGTTATTTCCGTACCAACTCTACTACCGGGTTGCCTTCATTTGGTTCTATTCAGGATATCAATTTTCACAACCTGTTTCAAACATCTGGAGGCAGCCAAGCAGGTGGCAGTCGCGGAGGTGGCAGTCGCGGAGGTGGCAGTCGCGGAGGAGGCAGTCGCGGTGGCAATCGAGAAGGCCAAGCTGGAGACAACCGAGAAGATGAGACCGAAGAAGATTATCTATATGATGATTCTAGATATTATCATAATGGTAGCCGGAGGAGCTTGTAAATGATATACATTTTTATTTGAACATTGTTTATTTACTATAATTCTATTGTGCTTATTATTACTTTTATTTCAGTCTGTTTGGTTATGAAATGTGTGTTCTAGTAGTCTGTTTATTACTTTTATTCTACAAATATTTTTTAAAATAAACTTTTCTAAAGAAAAATTAAAAATAAATTTTTTTTTTTATAAAACAAAAAAACTTTTTTTTTAAAAATAAAAAACTTTAGTCACGGATCCGAGCCGTGACTAAATTCTAGACCGATTTTTTAAAAAGTTATTTTACAAATTTAATTTTTTTTTAAAAAATAAAAAAGTAGTCACGGATCAAGTCCGTGACTAAAATTTGAAATTTGAAAATTTAAACCGTAACATTTGGCGGTTCATTTTTTAAAATTTGAAAGTTTAGTCACGGATTGGTCCGTGACTATATTTAGTCACGGAAAAGGCCGTGACTAAGTCGCCGGTGTGGTTATTCCGGTGACAAGTTAGTCACGGATACGGTCCGTGACTAAGCCGTGACTACGCTAAGTCACGGATAAAATGACCGTGACTAGAATTAGTCACGCCCAAACAGTCACGGATTTAGTCACGGACAAAGTCCGTGACTAGCAGAGTTAGTCACGGATTTTTTATACTACGGTCCGTGACTAAATCCGTGACTAACTCCGTGTTTTTTTGTAGTGGTGATTAGCCAGGATATTGTGACCGTTTGGATAATAGCGTTTCCGTCAATCCGTCGAATAAGTTGAACTACAAACCGCTGCAAAATGCAGCGTGTAGCACTCTACCCGCTGAAAAACAAACGGAGCCATTGATGGGTTCGATAACTAATAAAGTTGTTTCCATTTTTGAATGAATGATATTTTAATGCATAAACATGAGGGTATTTAGGATGCTTTTATTTTAACGGTTTTCACTCCCAGATCAGATCAAACTTAAACAGATCAGATCAGATCAGACCTGATTTCCATAGTTATAAAAATACACAGAGACCAGATATTTACCACACCAGGTCAGTTCAGATCAGACCAGACCATACTTAAACAAGCTAGGTCAGATCAGCAAATTTCAGTCCAAGTAGAAACATTTTTACTATTAAATAAAGAACATGACGGTATATTTTTTAGCATAAAAGAGCAGCCGTTATACTAAAAAAAAAAAAAAAGACAACCTTCAGACAGAATTTACAGATTCAATCGTGAACCCTAGGAGTAGACTTAGAGTCAGTCACCTCATACAAAGCAACATAACTCGCTAAACGACAAATTTAGGTCTAAAAAGAACAGAATTGAAACCCTGCCTATCAAAAGAACTCCAAAAATCCAAACATTCAAACCAAATCTACTCGGGCTACAAGAGAAACAATTGCTACTATAGATAAAATAATACTTAAATAAAATCTTTCCACAAAGATTTTTCATAGAGGTGGTTCCTGAGGACGACGAACTCTTGCTATATGGGTGAATACCGGTCAACTCCACAGTCGGAATGACTGACAAAGGTTTCAAGATCCAGCCTCGATACAACCTCCCAGTCACACATCATTCATCTGTCATTGTTATCTCCTCCGATGTAGTTGCAATCCCAAACGTTAGAACACTCAAAATCAGTATAGTCTGCCGCTCCAACCTCGTATTGATAGGGCGGCGGAAAATCTCAACCCCTACAAAGAGGGGAGACAGTCGCTAGGGTTTTTAGAGAAGAGAGTAAAAAACATGACGGTATTTAAAAATGATATTGTACATTTGTACATTGTAAATATTGTATAACATGACATAAAATGTACTATTTGTATTAAATATTGTATACTTTGTAATGGGTGTTTGGCAGATATAATCTCAACCTTTTAGTTTGGTTGTACATTTGGCAGAATGATTTTTAGGAGGTCTTTTAAAACTTTAAAGTCTCTTGAAAACTATGATGAGTGATTTCCGATAGAAAGTAAGTAGCTTCTAACATTAATTAGTAACAACGTGTTATATCAAATAGAACAAATCAACAAACGTTTTTATCAAACTATTACAATTTGTTTTATTTTAGGATCTTTTCGATAACTAAAAGTTAACACTTACTTCGTATTAGAGACCTCATAGAAGTATCTTCTTAGATATTCCCTTCGTCCTTAAATAAAAGTCTCTCTTTCCTTTTCGGATCATCCCTAAATAAAAGTCATCTTTTCTAAAAAAAAGTCATCTTTTCTTTTTTGGTAACAAAACAATGCAAAACAATGATAAACGGGTCCAAACAGTACCGAACAATCTAAATTTCTTAAAATGTGTGCAAAATTAATAGGGACAGAAAGAGCATAATCACTAGAATCACTCTTAAGATCACAATCTCCTTCCCACGACATTTGCATTACCAACTCCTATAATCAAGGTACAAGAAGAACGAGACATTTGTATGACTAGACATGACCATCAAGCACTATAACTTGTATTTTAGGCTTTGTTTGCAATCACTTCTGCTTAAATAAAAGCACTTTTGGGGAAAAAGTGATTAGTAGTAAAAGTTGGTAGTGTTTGGTAAAATAAGTGCTTTTTGTGTAATAGAAAAAGTAAAAAGTAAATTCTACACGGAAGCCGAGAAAGTAAAAGTTGGTAGTGTTTGGTAAAATAAGTGTTTTTTTCTTAAAAAAAGTTAAAAGCACTTTTTTTAATGGGTTGCAAACAGACATTTGGCAGAATGATTTTTAGGAGGTCTTTTAAAACTTTAAAGTCTCTTGAAAACTATGATGAGTGATTTCCGATAGAAAGTAAGTAGCTTCTAACATTAATTAGTAACAACGTGTTATATCAAATAGAACAAATCAACAAACGTTTTTATCAAACTATTACAATTTGTTTTATTTTAGGATCTTTTCGATAACTAAAAGTTAACACTTACTTCGTATTAGAGACCTCATAGAAGTATCTTCTTAGATATTCCCTTCGTCCTTAAATAAAAGTCTCTCTTTCCTTTTCGGATCATCCCTAAATAAAAGTCATCTTTTCTAAAAAAAAGTCATCTTTTCTTTTTTGGTAACAAAACAATGCAAAACAATGATAAATAAGCACTTCGGATATGCATACGCTGGCAAACCAGGCCCTGACAATCTATCGGTGAATGATGGAAACCACATACTTTTAATACGGAGTATTAGTTTAAAGATCATTCAGATTCGGAGAGAGTAGCTTTTAATAGGGGTGGTTCGGTATGGTATACCTTATATTTTTTCTCATACCTTTGCCATACCAAAACTTTCGGTATGCAAAATTTGCATACCTTTTACCTTACCGAAGTTTCGGTATACCGCATTTCGGTATACCTAAGTTTCGGTTCGGTAACGGTACGGTATCGGTAAATTACCGTAGTGCATGTCTCCCAAAACAAAAAATTATCATATACTAACGAAATATACTAAATCGTTATTACTAGCGACATATTAAATCTATTATTAAAATGTTACGAAATACAATTAATAATCTATTGATGTCAATTCAATATTGAACAATAATTATTATTAGTATATTTAAGCAGTTCAACATACCACATATTAAAAAGTAACATATTCTCCTAAAATAACTTGAACAATATAGATATAATTAAATCAATAGTGATCTCTAACAAAAATAAATAAAACTATTCAAACAACATGGATATAAAATCATTTATAATTTTTTAAAAATTGAATAAGACTTACGGACAAAGTTGTGTGTCTCGACTCACTGAATCCCTATGTAGATACACTTGTCACATAAGTGTATCTATCTTCACTCGTCAGCTACTTAGCGGCCCAACCATCACGACTTGCAAGCTCTTGGAACAAGATGGACTTGTTTCTTGACATTTGTACATTACTCATTAGTTATTTAAGGTTAGCGTGGTAGAAGCCTAGTGGGTTTGAGAAATTGGACCTTTATTTTTGTATTTTTGTATTTGTAACCAACTTAAGTATTAATTTTGGGCTTCAAAATTGTAATGAATTTCTACAATATATTAGAATTAAAAGTAATTGTGGAGTAGGGAGTCGGTACGGTATTATACCGGTATACCGCGGTATTTGAAAACATTTATCGTTACCGTACCGGTACGGTATCATATCGTACCGAAAATGACGGTATACCAATATTTCGGTATTTTCCGGTATTTTTCGGTACGGTAAGTGCGGTATACCGATATTTCGATATTTTTGCCCACCCCTAGCTTTTAATATGCATTCTGCAATAATAAAAGTTAAAAATTACTTTTTTGATTATATTAGTTTAAATTACCCTAGAGAATCACATGAGCCATTTTTTAATTTAGGGTTTTCTTAAATTTATTTATAAGATATATTTAAATTATAATTGTTTCATATTTCAATAAATTCAGCCAATTAAATCACTTTGGCCAAAATTTTACCAATTTCGTTTGCATTTTCACGTTATCAAGCATATAAGATTAAAAAAAAAAAGTTGGCATTTTCTTTCAATTCCAAAGCATTTTCGGGGATCCAACATAATTTAAAATTAAAAATAAATGCATTGAGAGAATGAGTAAAAGGTGAAACTAAAACTTGAAGTGCTTCTTTTAATCATCAGAAGTGATATTCATCTCTTACATTACAAGGGGTTTGCATTCTAACACCAGTAAAGCTACTCCTTGATGCCATGATGTCATTCAGAGACATCCTCTTCTTTGTGGGTCCCACCGCGGCTTCCGGCCTCTGCCTCGGAGCGCTATGTGACCTCAGCTTAGCCTGAAACGATTGCGTGTTCGCCATGTAACTCGGGAAGTGGTCCCCACACACGCTCTTGGGCGGTGTGGGCGGTGCGTTCCTCCTGCCTGGTGCCCGAGGAGTGTTTTGGGCAGTATGAAACTTAGCCCCCATGTCTTCACCTAGAAAACTCCAGTCATAATCAGGGAGGGATACTCTGCCTGGCGCTGGACATGAGGGTGCGTGGTAATAATAGGGGTCATCCCCACATTCAGACATGCAAGCGTTGCGGGTCTTCGATTTTAGCTTGAAAGTGTCAATCTCCACAATCTTAGGGCTTTCGTCCAATCCGCCGTTGAATGAGGTATCATATGAAGAAGCAGAAAGCCTCCTACTATGGAAGGCACTTCTGCACTCATCATATCTCTCCTGCAACAGAAACATGAATGCATTTGCATGAGTTAATGTTATAGTGTGTGTTTGGTTACCACTTTTCCCCAGCCTATCAGCCATATAATCTTTTACCATATACTAGGGGTGGAAGAAAGTCCCGGTCCGGTTCTAGACCATTAGACCAGCCAGATCCAGGTCCTTGAAAATGTGCAATCGGAACCATAGGCAAGGATACCCGATCCAGTTGATTCTTGGGTTAGTTCCAGCCTAGCTCTTGGGTCAATTTGGTACCGGCTTTAAGCCTTTTAAGAAATGGGTACCAGAATTGGTCAGGTCCTGTTTTGAAGAGAACCGGACAGGATTTGGACCGGTTCCAAGTTCAGGTCCAGAACCATTTTTTGGTTTGGAATCCTTGCAAATAACAAACTGGTTCAGGAAGCAGGACCAGTCTACCCTTATTGAGCACTAAAGGCTTCTTTGGTGATGGTTATGGGCTAAAATGGGTGAGTTCTGAAAAGACAAATTTTTACGAAAGCCAAATAAGTCAAAATCTACTTATTGAGCCTAACTTATTTACCTGTGAGTGAGCACCGACTGGACTAGTTATTATGCATCCCAAACAAGAGTACTTACAATGGACTTCCTGGCGCGTGTTTCAGGCGGGAGTCTGTCAACATTCACGGAACGGCGGGCTCTTCGAGAACGGGCAGCGGATTGGGCTCTAATGAGAGCTTGCATACTGTGAAGAGTGGCTGCTGTTCTTTTCCTTACCAGGTATCCCCTAACCAGAGCCTGTATTTTCACTAGTCCCTTGAGAGCCCTCAGAGCCCTTTTAGCCTGTAAAAGGGAAAAAAGTAATCAGATCTTGTCACCCAAGGGAGGATCTATGCACAGGCTATGGGAGGCTGAAGCCCAGAGCAACTTAGAAAATTTTCATTTTTTTTAGTGTAATTTTTTTTATTTTTCACGTTTAGCCCACCTCTCTAATATTTAAACCTAGTATAATTTCTATTCAGCCCAGGGCATCTCAAATTACTGGATCCGTCTCTGTTGTCACCCAAAAGGGGAGTGGGGTTCAAGAAACACTATTTGGTCTATCTAAATTGACAAAATAGCGAAATTCAGGAATTTATAACAGTAACCAGGAGTCCAGGATCATCATTGGCCAATCCAACATAACATTTGAAGACTAACTGCCACTTCAAAATGGCAAGAAAAGACTAATTGCTCTTTTTGAAACAGTGCACTTCTCCCATTATAGAAAATACACAGTACATGGTACTTTAAATCATTAATATGTGTATTCATGTTTATAATACTGTTTTACCTTGACTTTAGAAACATTAATATACATTTTCATGTTAGCGCTCCCTATATTCTTATACGTAGTATAAGTTTTCATTAATGTAAAAAGATAGTAAAATGACCAAGTTGGTCGCCTTATTTATTTCACTCTTGCATGTATACTTATATATTGACTTCAATGTGGGTATGTGGTCATTTAAAACATAATTACTTACAACCTTAAATATACTGAATTCAGTGTGGGGATGCGGTCATTTATATCAATATATGCTATTTTCAGTACAATATATCCATAAAATATGTTTGGTCCTGAAAAATTATTGGAAAATGAAATAGAATGTCAAGGAATTTTTTTTTTGCTTTGGTTAGGTTTTACTTTAGGAAATTTATAGCAATAAAATACGATTACTCGATAAGCTTTAAAGTTTTTCTTTTTTGCAGAAATAAATTAATAAAATGAGTATCAAGTTTTCAGCACACATCAGAAATAAATTCATTGAGTGGTAGCCTAGCTTTTAAAATCCCAATACTTATTGGTGTGAACTTTCCTCTATGTTATCCTGCCTTTTTTCTTTCCATAGTGTTTTCCTCATTTGAACTGAACCCTTTATGGACAAGTAATTAGTGTATGTTTGGTGCAACCATATGGGGGGAATAGTCTTTAGTTATTTTTAGCATTTAATAATTGAATTTGTTTTTGAAACCAAAACAGTTAACTATTATTAATTAAATCGTGACGGAGAGCATCCAAAATACATAAAGGCGGATTATTAATCCATAAACTACGATCAAACATAGAAACGGCTGCCCCTGCTAACCGGTGGACAACTCAATTCGCAGACCTCTTATCATAACTAAAAGATATAGGGGGGACTTGATCTTTTGTAGAAATAATATCCCCCACTAAAAGATCGAAACTAGAATGTCCTTCCCCAGAATGAATGCTCGAGATAACTTGGAAAGCATCGGACTCTAACTCAATGTCGTTCCACCCTTTTGAAAGAATCCAGCTAAGATTATAGTTGTTTGATAAAAGCTAACTGATTGACGTAGTCTTGTTTGGTACAGAGTATAATTTACTCTTGACTGTTTGAAATTGTAAGCAATACTAAAAGTTAAAAAAATCCTCACCTCACCTTCTCAAAAAAATCTTAAATTCTCAACTCAAACTCCAAAAGAGTATTATACCAAAAGCTATAGATTTTAAATAATACAAAAGGGCAATGTGACTTATGCATACCAAAGATTCACTTAGAAACATTCAGAGTATGTTCACAAATGGCCAATTTGAATCAACTTAAATACCAAGACACCAAACATATTTAAAAAGTTCAACAGTTCAGAAATTGTTTTTAAATGAAAGCAGTTATTTCAGCAGCAATTGAAAACTGAACTGATGAAATATAATAATAACATTACCAAGACAGGAACAGAATTAAATGCATATGTACTGACTACTGAGACAATAACACAAGCTACTTATTAATGAACTTACCAAGTAGCCCCTGAAAACAGATTGGATTTTGAGAGCAGCCTGATTCTCCCTCCCTAAATTGAACACAGCACCTCTCCCTTGACTGGTAAGTCTGACCACCGCAACAGCCGCCTGAGCTGCTGCCACCGCCGCATCCGCGGCGGCCGCGGTGGCTGCAGCCACAGCAATGGCGTGCTTGTTCTGTTCTGCTCTCAACCAAGAGGAATCCTCCGCATGAACATTATCAGGGGTGTTGGAGAACTTCCTAGACCTCTTTTCCCGGTCTTTCTTCATGCCAAACAAGCCCTTCAACCACCTTATTGCTTTACCCATTTTCTATCTGCAATTTAAGAAAATTCGTGAGAGAGAAGTGTAAAGGTTTTAGCAGAGGTCCTGGCCGACTGAGAGAGAGTTCAGTTTGAATTAGACACTTAGAATCATCACAAGTTGCGAAGCAGATAAGTTATGAGGTAATAAAAGGCTAATCTATCACAACCTTAAAATAATGCTCTGAGCTTATGTGGTACAAATAGATTGGATTTCTTTTCTTTTTCTTTTTTCAATTTCTTTATTCACTGACACAACCTCGTGAACAACTGTGTTACAGGACAAAAGGGAATCATAAATAAATAAACAAATAAAAGACTGAATCTTTTTGAAAAATTTCAACTTAAGGAACAAGAAATTGCAGGAAAATAGCAGTCAAGAGTCGCAAGAATGAAAAAGAACAAAGATGAGGGTAATCATCATAAATGGGAAAGAATAAAATATTTCATCAAAAAAAAAATTAAACTTCCTTTGTTTAACCAATCACAAACTCAACTAACTCAGAAAAAGTGTTTCATCATACATCCCCCTTTCCCTATCCCCCAAACTTATCTTCAGCAGGATCTCTTCCTTTTTGTAATTCAAAAATACATTGGCAAACATATGCCATAAATTGAAAAGTTATAATGTCCCAACAGCAAAAGAAGTAAAAAGATTCAAACTTTAATAAAAACAACCCTTCTTGAATTCAAAAAAAGAAAATAAAATTGTACCCAATCTGATTTTTTTGGAAATATACAGATGCAAACACATGGAACAAAGAAAAGTGACGAACCTCTTTCTTTTCCTCTCTCAAAGCCACGAACTTTATCTAACTATAAAAGAGTCTTTTCTCACACTAACTTTCTGAAGCAGCGTGTACTTAAATCATTAGAAATATTACAAAGCATACACCGCCCCATACCATACTCAGAGCCCCACCAGAGAGGCTTTCCATTTATGTTAATAAAGCCTCTAGACTCAGAATAATCATTAATTAGTCCTTTTTCCAGACTTTTTCAACTTTTTATCATACCATAAATCCAAAAAAGGTTTCCTGTAAAGAAAAAGGAAAAAACTGATGATTCATTTACAGCTAGTGAGCGCCATTAAAGCAGTTACCAGATTAGTGAGTTCAAGTTTTGCTGGCTTCTCTTTGTACCCACACAAAGGAGACGATTATAGAAAGATTTTCAGATTCGGGTTTCCGTATCCTCATTGACCTTCGCCGATTTTCTGTTCAGAAATCTTTGCCATTTCCTACGCACAAAATCTCTCTTGATGGGGAGGTGTGTTTGGGGGCTTTTTCGGCTTGGGGAAAAGATATTCAAATGGCGTAGTGTAGATCTTCGGTGATGATGTATGAATCTATGATGTATATTATGGAAAGAGAAGGACGAAATAGCAATTGTGATATTCTTTCTTCGGTTTTCAAATTTCTTAAGTCTTGGGGTGGAGTGGGAACTTTCATTGGAGTCATCACAGAAGTTTTTTTTAAAATGGAAAACAGAAGGGAAACGCATAAGTTTTGTTTGGTTCGTAGCTCAATAAGGATAGACTTTGGATTAGAAATTAAGAAAAATCTCCATCCTTAATTAGTTTTATAAGGCGGGAAAGTTCTTGAAATACAGGTAATTTTGTTTTTATTTTCGAATTATGACTAACAGCATCTCCAATGGTAAAACGTTAACGGTGCATACGTGGCATGAAAAATAACCAATTAAAAAACAATAAATACAATTTCTCTCTCCTTAGCTTATTTGAAGGATCTTAAACCATTTTGGTAAGTTCTTCTCTGCAATGTCAAGAACAATGTCTAGATGTAGACATTGTGATTGACATTGCAGACAAAAACTTACCATAAACACATAAGACCGTGGAAAGAAGAAGACAGATATTGTATTTATTGTTTTTTAATTGGTTATTTCTCATGCCACATATGCGCCATTAACGTTTTAGCATTGGAGATCCTCTAAAATAACAGTATTCATTGTTATTTGAAATAATTATATAAATATAACCAAAATAAAAGTGGTTTACAAAAATATGATTAGTTACTAGAGTAGTAATGAAATCATAGTAATTCATGTTCAAGTTTTGAACTTAAATTACCACAACACTACATTGTAGTAACGAATAGTCATATTTATGTAAATAAGTTTCATTTTGATAATATTCTTGTAAAAAACCCTATAGTTGACACTATTTTTGAATCATGTCAATAAAAACTTTTAATTTGAGCTGTCAAATAGTTAGAATACTAGATATTAAATAGGGTAATATTTACTATTATTAGCAGGGCCGGTCCTAACCATTTCTGGGCCTATGGGCGGTACGCTATTCTGGACCTATGATCGTATACTTATTTGAAATAAGAATTATAATAAAAATATCCAATGAAGTTCATAAAAAAAGTCAAAAATCACTTTATTATTATTATTTAAGTTACATATTTGGACAAAAGTAACAACACAAGTATCAAATAAAAAGAAAAAACATCAGTAAAAAACATTTCTCGTAGAACAATATGAAGCAAATAATCAATAATAGCTTCATAGGCGACTTTCTTTCTATTAATACATGGCAAACAATAAAATTGTCACATATAACAACACTAAACTTTTTTTTGAAAGGAAATATGAAAAAAATGTCACTACATATTGAATTCATAAGTTGGGAATGATTTATTGACCGTTGATGGGAGTCTAAAGTTTGAAGTCTCAAAAGAATGAAGATTTTCAAAGAGACAAAATGTATGGCTGCCAAGAACACTCTCGCAAGAAGACTGCCAATTTGACGTCCTCTAAACTAGTATTTGGAACTCAGATATAGTTTATTGGAATTTGGAAACAAATAAATAATTGGGATGAGATTTGAGAGAGATGAGCTCTAAAATAATTATATAAATTGTTATGTTATAATTAAATGAATAAAAAGCCTTAAAGGCTAAAACGATATAAAGACTACAACAGATCCTACTTAAAATTAATGTATGTATTCTTTTTTTGATGGAGCAACAATTTTATTGTTTTTAAAAACTACAACTCATCCTACTTAATATTAATGTACATATTCTTTTTTTAAACATGGCTCTGTTTAAAATTTTTTATTTACATTTTAAATTTTCAAATTGCCAACAAAATTAAACATTAGACCTAATTAACTGACCTTAAGAATTAACAAAAAGAAGCCTACTAACACTATACATAAAGAAAAAAATTGGGCCTATTTTTTCTTCTATTTTTTGTCGGGCCTAGGGCGGTCGCCCCTCTTGCCCTCCCTCTAGAACCGGCCCTAATTATTAGGGCATCCACATCCATAGATTATTTTGGGATCATTTTGATGATGTGGAAGATTTTTTTTTGAAATCATGGATGAGGAGTTGAGATTATTTTATGAGATTATTTGATAAAATAATCTGGTATCAAATTCTAAAGCTGAATTATTTTGAGATTATTTCCAACTTTTAGGCAATTTTCTAGGCATAATCATAATTGCAAAACCATATTCCAACCAAATGCTACTTGTACGTTATCTTATAAAGGAATTATGCATGTCATTTGTTATTTGAAATTAGTGTATGTATCCTAAAATATCTTGGTAAATTAAGATCATGGTTGAGGAGAAATTTTTTTATTTGGATATTATTTGAGCTTTTCTTATGTGGAAATGACTAAGCCATCAAAAACCGTAAAATTGAGTAGCATCAATGTGGATGCTACTCAACCGTAACCTTCCTTTTTCTATCGTAACAATCCGATTTTGGATTTTCTAGGACAAGTTCCCATGGCCAATTAGCGAATTTGTACACGGTAGTGGTGGAAAGTCTATAAAGTACGTGTAACTAATTACACAAGTTATAATTATAGGTCAAATAGATACTCATTTGGCTCCACACTCCACAGTTGAGCCATTTGTATATCTCGAATCTCGATATTAGAGTATCGTGCGAGTAGTAAATTGGTAAGCCATACCTTTGACGTGACTTTAGTTTAAAAAGGAATTCTCACACACGATTATGAGTTAGTGAAATAATGGTTTGTGTAATTACTGAAACACAATGAACTGAAACGATAAGAGGCAATGCTCAAGCAAAAGTTATAGACTTATGAACATCAAATACAAATAAGAATTTTTGGGTTACGATCCGGGTTTCACTTTTTTTGCAATGAAGTCATTAGGAAACATATTAAAACATGTGCAAGTCCATTTAAAAGCTCAATAAGAAATGGGACGAGGATAGGGGATTTAAAATACATAGAAATAAATAAATAACTGGTAATGGCTAGGGGCTAAATGTCGTTGAACATTTACCGAGTTTTATTAAAAATGAAAATGAAAATGAAAATGAATACATGAAGAGAGGAACTAAGCCAGAACCTCGTCAAGAAGTAAATAGTAAATGAAAAATACATTCATGGGAGAATATAAGAGAAGGCACCCCAAATAAATCCATATAATATGCTTTTTTAGCTCGGGCCGGTAAGTCTGAATGACAAGTAAAGATTTTCTGTTGGACCGAGATGTGATCCGCCAAAAAATTCGAGCCTCCATAGAGTTGCACTATTCCTATGACTCATACTTACACATGCAAGCATGTTCATATATTTTGTCAAATACTACGTATTAATTTAGAAGTTATTAATATATGTACCAGGAGAGGGTTCTAATGAGAACTCATCTTAAAATGAGAACTTGTTATAATGAGAACTTTTAATCACAAACTTTTATTTAATTCAATCATTGGTACGATGCACATGGGGTACTTTGTGTAATTAATGAAAATTCAAATGAGGTCTTGTTTGTAATTATTGTAGAATTATTACAAATTGCCACCTTATTAATGCTAGTCCTTAATTTCATAAACTAATGGTTTAGATTATTAGAAGTTTTCATTCATAAATGGATTCTCATTTTAGGATGGGTTCTCATTAGAACCCTCCCAATATGTATAAAATCTCATATATAGTGAGAATGAAGAGTATCCAAAGTGAAAATTGTAGATGTTTGTAGGCTCATATGTTTACGGGAAAATTTTGAAAATTGTGAACTCAAGAATTACATTACACTTTTGAGTCGATTTCAATTAGTTTTGATTGGTATGTTGCAATTTTGGTCAATTTTAGCGGGCTTCTGGCTTTTTTTAATTCAACCAATTTTCAAATCCAAAAGCATGAATCGAACTATTCTTGGGGTTAGTTTTACTCACTTTTGTTGGTCTCGTATGTAACTGAGTAATCGTATCAAAAGCGGATATAATCGATCAAAATTTGTAAAATTACATCCATTAAATGTTAATTTGAAATTATTTAGAGGGTGTTTGGTTGACAGCCTATCAACCTTTTTTTGGCCGATTTGACCATGTTTAGCATTTGGCCATATCAATCAGCCAATAATAGTGTTTGGTTAATTGGCTTTTTCAATTTGCCTTTGGTCCCCAACAGCCAAAATCTGAAAACGCCTAACATTGTAGTTAGGGGTGGTTCGGTACGGTATACTAAATATTTTATCACATACCTTTACCATACCGTAAACTTTCGGTATGCAAAAATACATACCGTTACCATACCGAAATTTCGGTATGGTAAGGTACGGTATCAGTAAATTACCATGATTTAATATAACAAATTATTATATGTCAAATGAAATAAAGAAAATCAGTCTTAATAGTGATATACTAAAATCATTAATGAAATTAATTATAAATTAAAATACCAATGAGATAACCTATTTGTGTTCTATTCAATTTTTGACAAAAAATATTATAAATATATATAGATATTTTAACACATGATATATGAAGATAACAACACATTCTGCTAAAATAATTTAAACAACATAAATATAACTAAAATAACACCGATCTCCAACAAAAAGTATAAATAATTCAAGAAACATGGATATAAAGGCATTTATCCTTGAATTAGTGTTGTGTTTCTAGTTATTTTTACAATTTTAAGAAAATTATTGACTTGGAATTACGGTATGACGGTATACCGGTATACCATTTGTTTCCAAAATATATACTGATACCATACCGAAGTAATTCGGTACGGTATCATACCGTACCAAAAGCGTCAGTATACCAAACATTTTGGTAAATTCGGTATTTTTCGATATGGTAAGTCCGGTATACCGAAATTTCGGTATTTTTCCGCACCCCTAATTGTGGTGTTTAATTACTGTCAGCCGTTCCACAAATTTCCTACGGTGCCCACACGCTTTTTCATATCCGCCTTCTTTCCTTCTAAGAGAAAATATTTCCGCCGAGGAATAAAAAACAAACTTGGGAACAAGCCGCACTCTTCTACGTACAGTTTCTTAGTTTCTTCCATCCATGCTCTCTGATTTTGCAAGAAGCAAAGAATGATTTTAACAGGATGATAAGCATTGAAAATTCAAGACATTCGATCCGAGCCAACCTCAAATTAAAGGGAGCAATAATGAAAATAAGACACAAAAATTGAAAACAAAAAAAGCATGCAGATCAGACGGCCATAGAAACCAGAAGCTTGTAGATAATCATAAGACGGCCATGTTTAAAATTATAATTACTTGC